CATCCCACCCCTTCTCCCACTCACAGCAGACGCTCAGGGTGACAGCGGGGGACGCGCTGCTCCCCGCGGAGCCCCGGGTGCGGCAGTGGTAGAGCCCGGTGGCGGCGCTGGTGACACGGGACAGCACGAGGACGCTGTCAGGACCCTCCTGGAGCCACCTGCTGTCCTTGTACCAGGAGTAGACGGTGTCACCCAGTGGCTCTCCGGCCACCTGGCACATCAGGGACACGCTGTCACCTTCCAGCACCTCCGAGGACGGTGAGATCAGGACTCGGGTGGCTGGAGCAGGGACAGTGCCAGCTCAGAGGGGACAGGGCAGAGCTCGGCGCTGCCGGTGTCCCCTCGTCACTTCCGTGGGGTGCGATATTCCTGCTCCATCCAAGGATTCGGGATGGCTCCAATGTCCCACTGGTGCTCCCTGTCCCCTCTGAGTGTCCCCAGCTCCTGGAGATGCCCAGGGCTGAGGTGCTGGAACATGGGTGGGGGGTGGGGGGCACTGGGAGAGATCTGGTGGCACTGGGAGGGATCTGGTGGCACTGAGGGCACAGAAACTTGGTCATTCCCACGGGATGGACCCCTCTGATGCCTGGGGTGGATCTGGTGACACTGGGTGAGATCTAGTGGCACTGGGAGGGATCTGGCGGCACTGGGAAGGGTCTGGTGGTACTGGGAAGGGATCTGGTGGCACTGGGAGCACAGACACGCGGTCATTCCCATGGGATGAGCCGCTGCGATTCCCCAACCCCGCTCTCCCCACCTTGCACGCGCAGGTACACCCGGCGCTCCGCGGAGCCGTGCGCGTTGGTGGCCGTGCACCGGTAGCTGCCATCGTCTGCCGGTGTCACCTCCCGGATCTCCACCCGCAGCGAGTTGGGGACAGCGGAGACGGTGACGCGTGGGCTGCTCCCGCCGGCGCTGGTGGCCACCGGCTCCTGGTCCCGGAACAGGGCCAGCTGGGCCGGGGGGTTGCTGGCCACGGAGCACTGGAAGATGGCCAAGGAGCCCTGCTCGGCCTCCAGGAAAGCCGTCAGGAAAAGGTCCCGGGGAGGGTCTGTGAGGGGGGAGAGGGATGAGAGGTCGGGAATTCCATCGGGAGAGGGGTCCTGGGAGTGGTCACTGCTCTGGGGGTCTGGGAGGGGATGGGAGGGAAAGGGAAAGGGAAAGGGAAAGGGAAAGGGAAAGGGAAAGGGAAAGGGAAAGGGAAAAGGAAATGGGACAGGGGAAAGGGGAAATTGGAAAAGGGGAAAAGGAAAGGGAAAGGAGAAGGAGAAGGAGAAGGAAAAGGAGAAGGAAAAGGAAAAAGAAAAGGAAAAGGAAAAAGGGGAAAAAGGGGAAAAATGGGAAAAAGGGGAAAAAGGGGAAAAAGGGGAAAAAGGGGAAGGGAAAGGTACGCACACAGCACATCCAGGAGGATGTCAGGAGAGCTCCGGCTGCTGCCTGCGGTGCTGGCCTGGCACCGGTAGAGCCCAGTGTCCCTGCTGGCCACTGGCCACAGCAGCAGCGAGGTGGCCGAGCCCCCGGTGATCTGCTGCCCGTTGTGGTACCAGGTGACGTTGGGGACAGCTGTGGAGCCGCTGCTCAGGTGACAGGTGAGGGTGGCATTGTCACCCTCCAGCACGCGGGGGGATGGGGACACGGTGACATTGGCAGCTGTGGGCAGGAGCAAACGGGGTCTGGTGTCAATGGTGGGGTGACAACCCCCCAAAGCCACCAAGGACAAATTCCAGCTGATCCCACAGTGCCGTGGTGGGGACAGTTGTGAGCCTGGCAGAGCCACCAGCCCAGGGACACCGCCTGGCCACATTTTGCTCCGTGCTCCTGTCACACACAGCCAGGGAATCCCCACCAGGGGCTGGAATGTCATGGGGGAGCCACCATGTCTGGATTTCATGGACTCGTGGCATTTCCGTGTGGCATTTCCCTGTGGCATTTCCGCGTGGCATTTCTGTGTGGCATTTCCGCGTGGCATTTCCATATGGCATTTCCGTGTGGCATTTCTGTGTGGCATTTCCGCGTGGCATTTCCATATGGCATTTCTGTGTGGCATTTCCGCGTGGCATTTCCATATGGCATTTCCGTGTGGCATTTCCGTGTGGCATTTCCGTGTGGCATTTCCATGTGGCATTTCCGCGTGGCATTTCCGTGTGGCATTTCCATTTGGCATTTCCATGTGGCATTTCCGCGTGGCATTTCCGTGTGGCATTTCCGTGTGGCATTTCCGTGTGGCATTTCCGCGTGGCATTTCCGCGTGGCATTTCCATTTGGCATTTCCACGTGGCATTTCTGTGTGGCATTTCCGCGTGGCATTTCCATATGGCATTTCCGTGTGGCATTTCCGTGTGGCATTTCCATGTGGCATTTCCGTGTGGCATTTCCGTGTGGCATTTCCGTGTGGCATTTCCATGTGGCATTTCCGTGTGGCATTTCCACATGGCATTTCCGCATGGCATTTCCATATGGCATTTCCGTGTGGCATTTCCGTGTGGCATTTCCGTGTGGCATTTCTGCTCCTCCTGCCACCATCTCCTGAGCTTGCCTCCTTCCCCAGCATTCCCTTCCTGCTCTCCCCTCTCCCAGAACATTCCCAGATGCCACAATCCCGTCCCCTGTCCCCTCTCCCCACTCACTGTCGGCCTTGAAATCCACAGTGGCGCTGGCGCTTCCTTGGGAATTCCCAGCCTGGCACACGTAAATTCCCTCATCCTCCACTACCACATCCCGGATTTCCACCTTCAGGCTGTTGTAGGACCTGGTGACGTGGACCCTGGGGCTGGTGGCTTGGGGACAGCCCTGGCTGCAGGCGATGACATCGTCGCCTCTCCGGAGGGTAAGGTTGGACTCGGGATCGCTCCCCACGGAGCACTGGATGATTCCCAGGCGGCCACCCTGGCTCTGCAGGAACGAACTCAGCACCGGCTGCCTCGGGGGGTCTGTGGAGGGAAAACTGGATCTGTGAAGTTGGGAAAACTCCCAGAATCCAAGGGATTGATGCTTCCAACACCGCCTGATCATCCAGGTTGGATGGGGTCTGGAATAATCTGGGAGAGTGGAAGGTGTCCCTGCCAAGGGGAGAGGGGTTGGGGGTAGAAAGGGTTTTGAAGTCCCTCCCAACCCAAACCAGGGACAAAACATCGCTGGATCTGTTGGGAAAACCCTGAGAATCCAAGGGATTGCCTGAGAAACTCTTGCACATCCAGGTTGGACCTACCTGCTGCCGTGGGAGGGGTCCTTGCCCATGGCAGAGGGGTCAGAATGAGATGGGCTTTGAGGTCCCCCAAGCCCAAGCCATTCGTGGTTCTGTCACCATTTATTGTTCCTGAAACTCTCAGGAAGGTGGGAATTCTCCAAATTCCTCCTGCCCCAAATTCCCAGATTTACCCGCCAAAGGGAATTTTTCACCCTCCCCACGTTTCCGCCCAAGAGCTCCTTGGCTGGTGGGGATGGGGGAAACCTCAGGGTGGGAGCAGCCCCAGCTCAGCCCCGGGACCCTCTGGAATTCTCACAGGACACTCACAGAACACTCGGAGCGGAACAGTCTCCGACGTGTCACTGCCGTTCCTGCTCCTGACCTGGCACTGGAAGGCGCCGGCGTCGTCTCCGCGGACAGACGGGAATTCCAGGGTCGGGAATGAGGTGTCCTGGAGCCTCCGGCCGTTCCTGTACCAGGTGTAGAGCGGCTTCTCGGCCGTGTCCCCTGTCCCCACGCAGGTCAGGGTGACCGCGGTCCCCTCCGTCACCTCTGCCGAGGGCTGGATCAGGAGCCCTGCAGCTGGAGGAGGAGTGGGATATCAGGGAAAGCGGGAAATCCTTCCCATGGATCCATCCAGCTACAATTCCCTGTTCGGCTTCCCTGAGCCGCCTCTCTTGCTGGAATTCTGTGGGTTCCGTGGGTCTTTGGGAAGTGACATTCCCTGGGGACACTGCACAGGCCAACTTCCTGACCCTTTCCTGCTTTTCCCAAGTGCCAGCTTCATCCAGGTGACTTTTTCCCAGGACAGACCCTGTCCCCTCTTCCCATTGCTTGGCCTTGTCCAAATTCCAGTTCCCATGCCCAAATCCAGGTTTGGATTCTCTGGAACTGGATCTTGAGATCTCTTTTTGGGTTTTTTTGAGATCCTAAAGGATGTTCCCTCTTGGACATGAATTTGGGGGACTTTTCTCTCCTTCTGCTGCCTCTGTCACCCCAAATTATCTGGACTTGGGGGTCAGGCGACAGTGACCAGTGGGGATGGATGGGGCAGAAAAATTTGGATAAATTTACTGATTTTTGGCATTTTTGGAAAACAAAACCCGGGAGCCCCTTCAGCTCCAAAAGCAGCTCTGGCCTGACTGACGAGGGACAGCCCCCAGTGCCACTCATGTCCCCCAGTGCCACCACAGGGGTCCCTCCTGCTCCGTGGGCTGCATTGCCCCCAATTTTGGGGGTTCACCATCACCCCAAACCCAAGATCAGCCGCGTCACCCGGGACTCACCACGGGTCACGAGGACTTTGGTGGCACTGGCGTTGCCGTGGACGTTGCTGGCGGTGCAGCCGTACTTCCCACTATCCCGGGGTCCCGCATCCCGGATTTCCAGCCGCAGGGAATTGCGGGAGGCGGTGACACCGAGCCGTTGGCGCAGGGCCACCTGCGCCCCGCTGGTGGCCAGCACGGTGCCGTCACGGTCGATGGCCAGGGTGGCCGGAGGGTGGCTGTCCACAGTGCAGCGGACGATGACCAGCCGGCCACCCTGGGTCTCCTGGAAGAGCGTGATGGTGGGAATTCGGGGTGGATCTGTGGGATGGGAGAGGATGCTGAGGTGGGGATGTCCTCGTGGTGTGGCCACAGGGAAAATCCTGGAGTGGTTTGAGTTGGAGGGGACATAAAATCCCAGCTGGTCCCATGGGCAGGGACATCTTCTGCTGTCCCAGGTGGCTCCAAGTCTCATCCAACCTGGCCTTGGGCACTTCCAGGGATGGGAAGTGTCCCCCCACCCAACCCAGATGTCACAACTGGCTCGTCCCCTGTGTCACCGGGTCAGATTTACCCCAAAATTGTCACAACCAACGCATGGCTGGGTTATTTTCCCCCTCAAAACCTCCTGAGCTGTTCTTATCCCTCTGGATTCTCCATGAGAAACCTCCCCAGATCTTATGGAATGGAGGGGACTAGCAGGAGATGGACACATCCCAAATGTCACTTAATGTCACCTTCACACTTGGCCCATGGCTAGAATTTGTTGTATTCCCATAAAATTCAACCAGCAGGGCTGACCCCCTCCCTCCCCCTACATCTGCCCCCGGGGCGCTCAGGAAGAGGCTTTTCCATTAATTTTTTTGTGGGATCTCCTGGATTTTGGGGGGTTTTGCACAGCCCCGCGTGGCAGGAGCTGGTGGCACTCACACGTCACGCTGAGGCTGATGGCCTGGGCCATGTCACTGCCCTGGCTGTTGGTCACTTGGCAGGAGTAGTAGCCGGCGTCGCCGGTGGTCACCGCGGGGAAGAGGAGGGTGTGGGCCGGGCCCTCCTTGAGCCACGCGCTGTTCTTGTACCAGGTGTAGGTCAGCTCATCGGGATGTCCCTCCCGCCCGGGGACGTCGCAGGACAAGGTGGTGGCCGTCCCCTCGAGCACCTCGGCCGCAGGGCTGGCCGAGATCTCTGCGGCTGAGGGGGAAAGGACGCGTCCAGGATGGCCCCGGGGACAGGAAAACAGAACCCCCACCCCAAATCCCCCATTCCAGAGCCTGGGAGGAGATGGGAGCCCCTCAGGGGGTGACAACAGAGCTGGGGGATGTTTGGGTTTGTCCCCTGCCACCAGCTGGGGACAGCTGGCTTTGGAGCAGAGAGCAGAGCCTTGGGGACAAACTCACGGTGGGTGGGGAGGGGTCTGTCACCTCTCAGGGTGGGCACGGGGGGCGCTGGGGGGAGCACAGGGACCCATCTGGGGGGAGATGCTCCCTGTGTGATTCCAGCTCAGGCAGGGAAGGCTGGGATTTGTCTTTGCTGTGGGATCTGCTGGGAACAGGAATCTCTTCCCTTCCCTGAGGGGGTGGGGAGGGGCTGGAATTCCCAGAGAAGCCGTGGCTGCCCCCCGGATCCCTGGAAATGTCCGAGGCCAGCTTGGACATGGCCTGGATCCAGCTGGGATAGCAAGAAGTGCCCCTGCACACGGCAGGGGTGGGAATGATCCACGAGGTCCCTTCCCACCACGGCTCTGCATCTCCACGAGCTCCCAAACCCTTCCCAGATTTCCCTTGGCTGGAAATCCCGCCCTGTTTTTTGGGATCACAACGACAAGGGACACAAGAGAGGCGGAACGGGGCCACCACCCTCCTCCTGCACGGACACCCCAATTGCCGCACCTCCAGCAGCACCAG